TAAAGGCTTATCAATTTTGCATATCCTTTCAAAGAACCAGCTCTTCATTTCATTGATCTTTTCTAATTTTTAGTCTCTATTTTGCTTATTTCCACTTTGATCTTTATTATTCCCTCATCCTACTCACTTTAGGCTTTGTTTGCTATTCTTTTTTAGTTCCTTTAGGTCTCAGGTTAGATTGTTTATTTGATTTTTTTTTGTTTGTTTGTTTCTTGGCGTAGGCCTATATTGGTATGAATTTCCCTATTAAACTGCTTTGGCTATATCCCCTAGATTTGGGGACATTTTGCTTTTCATTTTTATTTGCCTTAAGGTAGATTTTGACTTCTTCCTTGATCCTCTTGTTAACCCACTCATTAGTTAGTAGCATGTTATATAGCCTCCACATTTGTGTTTCTTAGGGGTTTTTTCTTGTAATTGATTTCTAGTTTTATACCATTGTGACTGGAGATTCTTGATATCATTTCAGTATTCTAAATTTATTGGAATTTGTTTTGTGGCCTTGACTACAGTAAGGTCAAGTTCAACTATCACTTTTGACCAGCTTGGGGCAACCTAGCAGGAGCTACAAAGTAATCTCTGATTGGTTGCTTCTTCTTCCATGCTTGAGATTCTTGTAAGAGGCTATATTGTGAACTGAGCCTGGCTGCCACTGGTACAGCTGGAACCTTGTGGTGGACACCAGGATGTGAGCTGAGGTCAATGCTATTCATGCCAGGCTTGAGGCCACCTGATGGGATTTATAATGCAAGTTGAGACTGGTCGCTGCTTGGGCCTGGCTTGGGACTGATGAGCAAGAGGTTGAGGGTATGCTGAGGCCAGCTGTTGTTTTTAGGAGGTTCATGAAACTTTGAGAGATTTACAGAAGTCTGCAGCATGAGCAGAGGCAGGATGCTTATATGGAAAAGACAGTGGAAGAGGTTCAGGTTGGGCATTTGAGTTGGATGAGGCAGAGTTTCAGAATATCATCAACTGGATTAATGGAGAATTCAGATGGCTGGGTGGGAGGAGTGCTCAACTAAGACACAATGGCACCTTGCCCTGGCTGGGTGGCTCAGTTGTTTGGAGCATCATCCCATAAACTAAAAGGTTGCAGGTTTGATTCTTAGTCAAGGCACACACTTAGCTTCAAGGCTCGATCCCCATTTGGGGCACATATGGGAGGCAACTGATTGATATTTCTCTCTCACATTGCTGTTTCTCTTCCCCATCCTTCCCCTCCCCCACCCTCCCTAAAATCAATAACCATGTCCTTGGGTGTGGATTTGAAAAAAGAAAAAGGAAACAATGGCACCAGCCTGTGCTTCTGTCCCTGGAGAGAGCTGCCCTGACCCGAAGATAGAGTTCCCCTCTATCTTCACCCTGAAGTTAGTCAATTCAGTTCCTCCCTGTATGTCTTCAGTGCTTTTTGAGTTGCTGCATCTGCATTGGAGCCCTGAGCTAGTGAGTCCACACATGGGTTCCTCACACAGAACATCTTGGTCTCCAGCAGCCCTCTGTCTCATTTGGATGTAATTCCCACTCCTTTTCATAGCCAGATGTTATGGGGACTCCTCTTCTGGGCACTAGTGTACAGGGCTGGGACCCCTTGCTCCTCATGGGGAACCTCTGTAGCCATGATATCCCTCCCAATTCTTAATCACCACACTATGTGCGGGACCTACCCTTTCTGTGTCTCCACCCTTCCTGCCAGTCTTGACACAGCTGCTGCTTTATATCCTTAGTTATAGGAATTCTGTTCAGTCAGTCATCTGCTGGTCCTCAGTTATGTTTCTATAATTTAGTTGTAATTTTGAAATGGTCATGGGAGGATGTGAGCACAGTGTTTATCTAATCTGCCATCTTGATCAGAAGTCTCCTACCTAGACAGTCTTTAAGAAGACAAAATGGGAGACTTCTCCAGGATCTGAGTACCTATTTTAAAGCTACAATAATTAAAACTGTGATTTTAGCACAGAATGAAGAAATGGATCGATGGAGTAGAATAGAGCAGCTCTTCTCAACCAGAAAATTTAGGCCATAATGACCTAAGGTCCCCATTACAGTCATACCTTGGACTCATCGGCTTCAGAACTCACTAAACCCTGTACTCACTGCATTTTGATGAGAAAAAAGTGCTGTAGCACTCGGTGCTTGCTGCAGACTCGTCACACTCACTAGAATTTGTATGAGTCACAGCGCTGCCCCCCCCCGAGAGAAAATGCTTCATCACTTGTCGCTGGCTCGGTGCTCGTCAATTTCAGTGCTCATCATGAGTTCTGGAACAAATTAGTGGCGAGTACTGAGATACTACTATATATGTAATGAATTAACTCACCTCCTATGGATCTAAAATAATATCAACTATATACTGTCTCTAAATGAAAAATACAAATCACTTAATTTTCTGTGAAGCAGTTAAGGAAGGATGGGATAGAAAATCCAAAAACAGATCCATGCATGGATGCACACTTACCTCATGACAGAACTGACATTGCAGAGCATTAGAAGAAATAGACATTTTAATAAAATGGTACTGCATCAATTACATATCCACATGGAAGAAAATGTACTTGTTTCTCCCTTATGCCACACACAAAAGTTAGTTCCTGAAAAATTGTAGTCTAAAGGTAAATGGTGAAATAAAACTTTGAGAGACTAATACAATATCTTTATGGGGTTGACAGTATTTCTTAAAATATGACATAAAAGTCATTGACAATGAAAAAATATTGGTGAATTAGGATACATGTCTTCATCTAAAGAAACAACTATGAGAGTAACCACAGACTGGAAAGGGATATTTGCAATATATATAACTAACAAGATACTTGTGTTCATAATATATAAAGAACTTTTATGCAATAGTAAGAAGTAGATAATCCAGTATTAAAATGGACAAAAAGTATTGAACAAGAATTTCACAGAAATATATAAATTACTCACAACATATAAAAAGGTCTCAGTTCCATTAGTAACAGGGAAACATAACTTAAAACCCCAGTGATGTATTAGGTACCCATGAGAGTGGTTAAATAGTGCTTAGACATTGTTAATGAGAATGTAATACTGTACAAATCATTGTGAAAGCAGCATCTTCTACTAAATTTGAACATAGTCTACCCTGTGACTGAGAAATTTCACTCCTAGGTATACAAGCTCTGTCTGGAAAAAGTCCAACCATTGTTAATACAACAAGAACAGTTTGCATGACATTGATGTAGCCTGGCAGCCAAGGAGGGTGGACTGGACTGCACATGCATGAACAATGATGATTTCACTGTACTAGTCAGTGGGGGCAGTAGACACTGTTAAGTGACCATGTGTACTGTGTGGCCTTCACATTCAAAATGACTGAGCAAGTAGAGCATGAATCTGCATTAAATTTTGCATTAAGCTTGAACATTCCTCCGCAGAAACTATTCAGATGATTCAGAAGGCCGGGGTTATGGCAAACTGGTGATCGGCAGCTTCATCACAAAAACACACCTGCTCATGCATCACACCTTGTGCAGAATTTTTTGGCAAAACATTAAATCACCCAGGTGACTCAGCCCCCGTATAGCCCAGATTTGGCGCCCTGCAACTTCTGGCTTTTCCTAAAATTAAAGTCACCCTTGAAAGGGAAGAGATTTCAGACCATTGATGAGATTCAGGAAAATACATCAAGGCAGCTGATGGTGATTGGGAGAACTGTGTGAGGTCCCAAGGTGCCTACTTTGAAGGGGACTGAGGTACCATTGTCCTGTGTACACTGTTTCCTGTATCTTGTATCATTTTCCATAAATGTTTCTATTTTCCATATTACATGGCTGGATACTTTCTGGATAGACCTCATATTTCCAGTGCAAATATGTGCACTTGACCTTCAAATGAAGGTCATTTACTTGCTTAGAATATAGCATTTGTTTGGAATCTAATGTACATTTTTTTGTAGAAGCAATTAGAAATTGTGATTGGGTTTATACATTGGTTCACAATCAGTACCCAGCTCTAAAAAAAAATTTTTTAAAGCCATCCTGATAAATGTATATCAACCTCGTAGTAAAATATGTAGACTCACCTAGAACCTTAATCCTAATGTATAATATTTGTATGAAAGAAGTCAATCTAATGTTGTATACAGCTACACCTGCAGCAGTAAGGGCAAGAAGAACACACCATAACACCAGGAGTATCTTTCTTCCCTTACCCCTTTGATTATCTCTTTGTGGGTATGGGGTACTTGGGCGTTGAGTTTATAATTAGGCGAGTGCCTCTGAGCTCCTGTTAGGATTGAGATGTACATCTAGCTGACATCTAAGGACCCTTCCAGCTCAGAATTCTCATAGTCTATCATATTCAGAATTATGACTGGCACATTAAAATGAAGTCTTATATGGCGTATTGTTTTCACTGAGGTTAGGAAAGTGATGGATTCAAAATAATTCAGAGATTACTTGAGGCCAATTCTCGTTTTTTAACAGATAAGAAAAGAAGCCCAGAAAGGTGAAGCAAACTTTCCCCGTGGTCACTCCCTCTTCATCTTCATTCTCAAAACATAATTACCATTTGTAGAATGTTTACTGTGTAACAGGTCCTTTTCCAAGCTCTTTACACACTTTAAGTAATTTAATTCCCACAACCACCCCTTTTACATATAGCAAACCGAGAAACAAAATGTAAGTAACTTGCTTAGGTTTAAACCCCCTTACTATAGTTCTTTTAGTTTGATAATATTAGTAGCTGGACAGAAATTTTTACCAATATTGATAAAGCACCTTGTCTGAGCCAGGCACTGGCTAAAAGATTTTTAGTAATGATTATTGAAAGTGAAAGAGTTGTTTTGTTTAGAAAATTACAATGTCCCATTTTACATTCCGATGTTACTTTGGATGAAGGGAAAAAGGGGTACTTTTTCAAAATATTTAAATAATGTAAATATGTTTTACACATTTAGAAAAAAATTCTTTTAGTTTCAGATATAGATTATTTTTATAGTAATGGTCCTCAAATTTAAATGTCTTTTTTTTTTTAAACAGTATCGAGCTCAGAGAACTGGAGAAGAAATTAAAAGCAGCCTACATGAATAAAGAAAGGGCAGCTCAGATTGCTGAAAAGGATGCCATTAAATATGAACAAATGGTAATCATGTTTCTGCTCATTATGCTTTCTGTATTTTTAGGTTCATTTAAAAAACCAAAAATAGACCAATTTTTAAAAATTTGTTACATACTATAAAGAATTTACAGTGCTAGATTTCTCAAATACTTCATGCTTTTCAGATCCTTAAGGTATAGGGAATCATGGATTATTTAATATTGAGCCTTGTTTAATATATTAGAGTCTTTCAGAGACACAAAGGACTAAGCTGTTGTTTAAAATGAATGGCTATATTCAGTAACTCCCAGCATTCTTTTTGGTCTCTAACCAATTATTCTTGGACAAAGCAATACAGTACAGGTTGTTAGCATGATTAATACATTATAATGTTATTAATTTTTCATTTTTTAAATGTTCTGAAAAATAAACTATTTTATAATTTTATGCAAACTTTTCTGTTTTATAAATAGCAATTTCTATTTGTTTCCCTCTATCCCTTTTTCTAACTCCTGACAAACTGCCAGGTTCAGGGCAGGAGTTACTCTTGGGCAAAGGAGTTTCAGGCACACTCACCAATATAAAACAGGCTTTATTGAGTTAATGCTTAACAGCAGGTGCATGTCATAACGTGAGCATGCATTGTCGCAAAGAAAGGCTAGACACAGATGAAAAGGTCTGACTCAGCATGACACAGCCTTACATTCCCCTTCCCTTGTTGCTCTATTATGTCGAATAGAGAGGTGGCAGAGTCCCCTCTCTCCTGGATCCCTTTCACAAGGTATTACACAGCTGTTAAAGAGGAGGGGGTAGAGGTGAATGTTCTGGCTTTTAATCTTGGACCATATATATTTTAGGTTGAATGGGAAAAAAAAGCAAAAAAATCAAGTTGAAGAATAATACATATCACAGACCATTTTTATTTTAAAAACTGGTGCATATATGTACGTGGATATCAACATGTGTATTTATTCATACATACTGTACCTTGCCGTGTCTGATGTGCACTTTTTTGTCCAAATTTTTGAGGGAAAAATAAGGATGCACATTACACATGGGTATAATGATTACATACCATGGGTATAATAATGGGTATAATAGCCCTGGCTGGTGTGGCTCAGTGGATTGAGTACAGGCCCATAGACTGAACAGTTGCTGGTTTGGTTCCTGGGCAGGGCACATGCCTGGCTTGCAGGATGGGTCCCCAGTTGGGGGCATGTGAGAGGCAAACAATTAATAACGGGTATAATAATCAGTGTATAATGCGCACCAAAAAACTTGGGTGCGTATTATACATGGCAAAATATGGTGTATGTTGTATATAGAGATACACACATGCAGTTAGAGGCGATATCAAAATATTCAACAGGTACAGCGCAATGTGTAGGTATCAAGTAAGAATAGATGCTGCCCATGGTGATACGTGCACCTGGGCACGTGCACGTGTGCTCATGTAGAAAAACTCGGGCGTTATGTAGCATGCTGTTAGCACTGATGCGTAGGAGAGGGTGAGATTTCGTTTCCTAAGCTGTATAACTGTATTTTACCCTTTGAAAAATAAAGTAGAATATAAACAATATACTATTTGACCAGTAGTTTGCAGTTTTAATTACCTTGATAATTGAGGTTATTCAAGGCAATTGTAGACATTTTGTCTGATTCATGAGATAGTTGCTATTTTCTTAATAAAACTGATCCACAAAAATTAAAGTCAAATACTCCTAGGACTTGACCAGGTGTCAGAATATCTAGGTGCTAGTTTTGGCTCAGTCTTTCTAAGGCTTATTTTTCTTAACTGTGAAAGGAGAACATTGTCTTTATATAAGTGTATGGTAAAATGCAATGCATATTTTTATCATTTCGTATTTTTTCTAAAGAACCTAGTACAACATGTGCTAAGAGAACAGAAGCCGAGAAAGAAGTTTGATTAAGTAATATTAACAGCGTGATGGTAAAGGCATCAGTCAGATCAGGAATGGCACTTAGCAGCATTCATATTTTCATCTGTTTCTTCTTTTATGTTTGATGCTGTTGACCATTCTGGCATCAGAACATTTGGGCTGTGATCACAATAGTAAAGGGCAATTTTTTAAATTTCCCTGATATATATTTAAAACTTATTTTGTTAAATGATTTTAAAATGCTCAAAACAAATAAGGGGTTGAACCTATTCAAGAAGCAATACTATCTCTAACTCAGAAGGAGTGATCTTGAATGGGTGAAGTAAAAGCTGCAGAGAACAGGCACAATGACATATGTAACCTTTTTAAGTTAAAATGATTACAAAGGGCCTTTAATAAATGAGAAAAGAGGAGACTTAAAAGGCCAGTGGCAGGAAAGAAAGTTTAGGCTGGGAGTAACTAAAGACGTACTCAGAGCTGTAAATAGCAGACCTGTATGCAAAAAGATAGTACAGGCAGACAGATATATCTCATTTTGTTGCACTTCGCTTCCTCATGCTCCACAGATACTGTGTTTCTTACAAATTGGAGGCAAGACCGTCCACCAGCAAAAATAATTACAACTTGCTTTATGGCGATACTCGCTCTATTGTGGTGGCCGGAACTGAACCCGCAGTGTCTCCAAGGGGTGCCTGTACCATCCTTACTCTAAATAGCGGCTGATACATGTCAACCTAAGAAATGTCCAAACCTTAGAGAATATTTTTAAGAGTTTATTTGAGACAAACTGATTTTGTTTTAGATTTTATTTATTTATTTATTTATTTATTTTTAGAGAGGGAAGAGAGGGAGAAAGAGAGAGAAACATCAGTGTGCGGTTGCTGGGGGCCATGGCCTGCAACCCAGGCATGTGCCCTGACTGGGAATGGAACCTGCGACACTTTGGTTTGCAACCTGCGCTCAATCCACTGAGCTACACCAGCCAGGGCAGAAACAAACTGATTTTGCTGAGGAGCAAGAACTCAAATGCTCCTGAGAATAATTTTCACAGCTTCTTTTATGCATTTGAAATTAAGGAGTGACTATAAGGAAGAGTACATGGAGGTGGGAGAAAGCAAAGCGGGGAATGGATTACAGGGTAGTTAATGAGATTATGTGCCTTGTTGAGGGCATATAGTGCTTTATTTCAAAGGTATGTTAACCTAGACACACAGTAAAAGTGTACAGGGCTTGCTTAAGGCAAAGATAACCCTTTTACTGAAAAGCTGTATGCCTGGGGCATGACTGTCTACTATGACCTGCCCAGTTAGGAATCTATGGTCAGATCATCCTGGGAAATTACCCTCCATAAGGCTCCTTTTTTAAACCCACATACATAATAAAGTTAAATTGTGAAAATTGCCACTATTAAATACAAGACAACATAGAAAGATGACTACTGCTTTGGCAGTTAACATAGTAAAGTTATTAATAGAGTACTTCTAATCTGACTTTACTATTTTCAAGTGTAGGGTTACTAAGTATCCTTATTGTGTATTGCCCTGAGAGAGCTACCTGAAGGAACAGGAAGGCCTCTTTACAGTTCAGCTCGTCATTCATACCCTTCAGGTGACAGTGACTTACCTTTGCTTTTAACTTACACAGATGAAAATATTTTATGTGACAGGCTTTAAGATATTCAATTATATCTCTTTAAAATATTCTATCACACTCTGCTCAGATTTGAAAATGGAAAGATGAATTTTGTTTTAATAACAGAAACGTGATGCTGAAATAGCCCAGACCATGATGGCAGAACACGAGAGAATAGTGAAGGAAGAAAGTGCCGCAGAAAACAGACGGAATAAAGTGAAAACACAGTACAGTCTTGACCTAGAGAAACAACTTGAGGAACAAGAGAAAAAAAAGCAGGAAGCTTATGAACAGTTATTGAAAGAGAAACTCATGATTGATGAAATTGTTAGGAAAATCTATGAAGAAGATCAATTGTAAGTTAATCCCAACTTTGTTAATGCTTAAACATTCATGTCAATCTCAGGCTTATTTGGAAGAGGTAAAGCACCTACACAGTGTCTACCACACAGGAAGTCCTTGGTCGTGTTATCACATAAACTGAGACCGGCTTGTATTTGTCTCCTAGCATGATAGTTAATTATCTGTTAATTAACAAATGCTCATTAAGTGACAATCACAAAAATTTGTTTTTCCTAAATATGCTCATATTGTATGTCAGAGGACTTGTTTTCTGATGCATTTCCTTGGTAGACAGCTGAGGTGTAGAGTGCTATGTGGCAGATGTTAACAGGTTGTAGCCTTTGTGAAATGCAATGAGTAAAACTCCACTAACAGGTTAGAGAAGAAGTGTGGTAGTATTTTACTCAGAAAAAAACTCATACCTCTAACATATCTAGTGGCATTAATAGAAACTCAGAATGTTTTGTTGAATGAATGAATGAATGAACAAACTATACATTTTTCCAATATTATTGACTGAAGGAAATGACACACATTCTTCTATATTTTATAATTTTTGTTACTATAAAACTGCACTCTTGTATTTTAGAGAAAGACAACAAGAGTTAGAAAAAAAGAATGCAACTCGAAGGTATATAGAAGAGTTTCAGAAAGAGCAGGCTCTCTGGAGAAAAAAGAAACGTGAGGAAATGGAAGAAGAAAACAGAAAAATCATAGAGTTTGCCAACTTGCATCAACAAAGAGAAGAAGATTGGATGGCGAAAGTTCAAGAAAATGAAGAAAAAAGGCTACAGCTTCAGAATATGGTATCAAAATAACCACTTCTTTAACATTGGAGAAATTCTGATTTTTTAAATACAACTTGGTTCCTATAATGTCTGAGTGTTTTTTTTCCCTTAAAAAATTAAATAGTTGACACAGAGATTGGAAAAAATGCTGCAGCAACGTGAAGATTTGGAGCAAGTGCGACGAGAATTATATGAGGAAGAACAAGCTGAAATACATATGAGGAAACTGAAAGTAAGTTTTAGAAATTCAAAGAATGATTAACATAGAGGATAATATAATTTTGAGATAAAAATAGAGAGATTTAAACCCAACAATATTAATAGTTATTTTAAAGGGTATAAACACTAAAATTAAAAGAGAAATGTTCAGGTTGGATTAAAAAAGCCAGACCCAGGCAGCAGTGTACAAACTACTTAAGAAGCATGAGACGTGGTAATAAGGAGCAGACTGACAGTGACCAGAGGGGAGGGAGGAGAGGGAAAGCAGGGGAAAGTCCTAGTCAGGGAACTCGTATAAAGGACACATGGACATGGACAACAGGGTGGGGACTGACTGAGGGAACCAGGGGTACAGGGTTGGGTGGGCCAGGGGAGTGCAGTGGGGGGAACTGGGAAAACTGTAATAGACAGCCATAAAAAAAAAGCATGATGCAACTATGTTGTCTATAAGAAACACAATTTAAATATGAAGACATGTACTTTAAAAACAAAAGGAGAGAGAAAGATGTACCATGCAGACACTTAATCAAAAGCAGGTTGGATATCAAGATGATAATAAGGTAATTCATCTAGAGTATATAATAATGACAAATGTGCATGAACCTAAATAAAGCTTCAAAATGCACAAAGCAGAACTGGCAGAAACCAAAGGAGAAATAGACAAATCCATAATTACAATGGAAGATTTCAATACCCCTTCTCATTAATAGTCGTACCTCAGTACTTACTGACTTCAGAACTTGTCAAACCTTGTACTCGTAGCATTTTGACGAGAAAAAAAAAATGTTTCAGCACTTAGCACTTGCTTGGGACTCGTTGCACTTGCTAAAACTTGTGAGTCATAATGCTGCCCCACAAGGGAAATGCTTCCTCACTCATAGCTTGCTCGGTGCTCGTCCATTCCGGCACTCATCATGAGTTCTGGAACGAATTAGTGACAAGTACCGAGGTGCCACTGTATGGAGAATATGCAGTCAGAAAACCACAGGGATGTAGTATTGAAAAACAGTGTCAACAAATTTGACCTCAAGATAATATGCTGATTTTCTAATTGGGTGGTTTGTTCATTTACTGTAACATTTTGAGAGTTCTTCATGTATTCTAGATTCTAGTCCTTGTGAGATGGATGGTTTACAGATACTTTCTCCTTGTCTATAGCTTTTCATCCTCCTAACAGGGTCTTTCTCTGAAAAAATGTTTTTTATTTCTTTGAAGTTCAATTTGTCAGTTTGTTTTCATGGATCGTACTTTTGGTATTAATTCTAGGAAGTCTTTGCCTAGATCCCGGATAATTATTTCCCTAAAAGTTGTTGACTTTTGCATTTATAAGTCTGTGATCCATTTTCAGTTACCATTTTGTATACTGTGTGAGACTTAGGTCAAGGTCCAGTTTTTGCTTTTGGATGTCCAGTTGTAGCCTTACAATAGCCTAGATATGGAAATGACCTCGAAGTGTCCGTCAGTGAATAAGTGGATCAAGAAAATAGTACACCCAAAGAAAAAAGATTTCCCTCTTGGAATTTATTTTTAGTGAGGGGATAAGGCATATATGTATGAAATAAAATTAGATGGAAAAATTAAATGGTGTAAGAGGCCCAAAAGAGAGAGGAGTATGAATTCGAGTGTGGTTAGAAAAGACTGTATGGAGGAGGAGGAGGGTTCCGGAGGGGGTCAGAGAGGGATGAGTGAAGAAAGGTTGAAGACACAGTGTGACTATCAAGTTGCTACAGCTGATACTGCAGATTGGCTCAAACCCATGCTACTGCTTTTTAAAAACATTTGTGCTGCTTTATTATAAACACTATAAAGTTTAAACTACATTTTTCTTATTTCAGTTAGAATTCTGCGTGTGACCTAGGTTATCTCCAGCAGTTATCTCTTCTCCTGTCAGGGTCTGAAGATGCCAGGGAGAAAATGGGAGAGCAGCCACTCTAGGAAGACCAGGGCACTGGGGGAGCTTTGGTGGGGTTGTCGAGGAGTCTGAGCAGTGGCACGTCAGCTTGTTTCCCTGGACCTCTGAGTCATAGGTGCCAGCTGGTGGCCTGTAGCAAATCCCTTATAGTTTGTGTGACCTGGAAGTAAGAACCCTATCCATACAGCTGTTAAGACAGTATTTTGAATGCCTTGAGGATGCCGGACTACCTGGAGCTTGTGTAAGAATCGGACAAAGTTGGTTAGATTAGAGGACTTAAAATTTACACCAGCCCCAACTGAATAGAGAGATGATAATGCAAAAACAGTAAAATATTAGTAGAATCCAGGTGTTAGGTATGTGGGTGATCACTATTAAATTCTTTACATCTTTGGTTATGTTTGAAATTTCTCATAATAAAATGTTGGGAAAATTAAAATGTATAGAAAAGGACTTTAACTGTTCAAAGTAAATTTGAATCTCCCTGAAAAACTTCTGATTGTCATTGCTAGATTATTGTTCTGAAAAATATTTATCAATGATCTGAACAATAGTTTCATGCAAGATTCTAGAATGTTTCAGAGTTGGTACAAATTTCATAGAATACAGATTTAATAAACTTAGGTAAGCAAAAAAAGTTTTTATATCAGCCCTTTTCAAAGTAGTTATATGTTAATTTTGAATACAGAAACAAAGTAAATATATACAAGTGAAAATGTAAAAACAAGTAACAGGAGGCAATTCAAAAGTAACATGTCCTTTATTCAACTAGTTTACACTAGAGAACACTGCCCTAGTCTTGTACGCTTAACCAAACTATCCCTCCCTCAGTTTATAAATCTGCTTTAAAGAAACAGTTACTGAATTACCTTTTACATGTAAATTGTTTTTTAGGAAGAAGCAGAGGAGAAATTGAGAAAGCAAAAAGAGTTGAAGCAAAATTTTATAGAACAAATGGCCTTGAAGGAACTGGTACAACAGGCTGCAAAGGAGGAAGAGGAGATCTTTAGAAAGGCTATGTTAGCTAAACTCGCCGAGGATGATCGCATAGAGTTAATGAATGCTCAGAAGCAAAGAATGAAGCAACTGGAACACAAGAGGGCTGTGGAAAAACTTATTGAAGAGCGCCGCAAACAGTTCCTTGCAGACAAAGTAAGGAAAAGTGGTTTGGTTTGGTTTGGTTTTTGCCATTACCATTTAACGGCAATCAGTTTGTGCATTCATCCACTAAACAGTTAACTGAGAACCTTTCATGTGCCAGGTGATATTATATATTAATCATATATACAATTTTTTTCTTTCTGGTTTCCATGACTTTGACAAGGAGTGGCTTGAAGAAATAGTGACCCCAGTAAATAACTAATTTCAAAGAAAAGCTTTGCATTAATACTGCTTTAAAATAGTTCTTGGCAGGAACTCATTGCAACAGTCTGCCTTTTAGCATCCCTCCCTGAACAACAGGATTTGTTGGATTCATTTCCTTGAGAGTTCTTTTAAGCCCTAGAAACTTTTGAAGCTACTAATCTCTTTGACTCACATGGCACAGAACTTTGGTGTGGTTGAATATTCAGAACTTGTTCCTGAGAAATTTCTCCCTGTAGAATTCTTGCTGCTACTATTGGGCTTCATACGGCTTTTAAAAATTTAATATATGAAAATACAGGGTCCAGCAGAAGTAGCACCTGTTGGAGTGTGGTTGGTAGAGAATGTGAATGTCTCACACGAGATGGACAGCAATTTGAACACTTTACCCAAAATGTCATGTGGTGTGCTTGAGTGTGATACTGTTACATGCTTATGATTCTGTAATAAAAGATTTATAATAAAAAGGGGCGTTATTTGTGCCTGACCCTGTTCTTTAGCTGTCCCTATTTGGTTGTACCTGTTTCATCTCCCACTGTGAGCTGTTGTTAGCACCTGCCATATGGTAACATTCAATAAATATTTGTTGAATTAATTAGGAAGTCATTTCGTTGAACATGTTTTCCTCGGTAATGATATTGTCCTGAAAATATGTACTTGCCTTCCTAAAATCCCAGTCATAACCACAGGGTGGAGCAAAAGTAGGTTTACAGTTGTGAGCACATAAAACAGTTTATTCTTGTCTTATTACTATATTTTCCATGTGAACAAATGTAAACCAACTTTTGCCTCACCATGTACATCATCTAGAATCTTTTCAAGTTAGTATCAATAGAGAGTTCATCAATTTTATCCAATTCCCTGCAAGAATAGTTTTGACAATTTTTAAGATTAACGGACTGGGTAACAATATTTTTTTTACATTTCCAGCAACATGAACTGGAAGAATGGCAGCTGCAGCAAAGAAGACAGGGATGTATTAATGCAATTATTGAAGAAGAAAGACTAAAACTGCTCAAAGAACATGCTGCGAACTTACTAGGATATCTCCCTAAAGTAAGTGAGCTGTAACTCAGTGTCCCCCTCGTGACATCTACCACCACTGGAGAAGAACCACAGGGTCAGGATTACAGAGGTCCTGGTTTTGTTCACTTCTTGCTGTTACCAAGCAGCAGTGGGATTTTGGCCAGTCACTGTCTCTAAAATGAGAGTTAGTCTTGGCACATTTTTAGATTATGAGCTAGGTTTATTGATTTTAAGGTTTTGAGATTCTTTTCTCCCCTTTCAGTGTATGTGTTCTAAAACTAAACTACCACAGAGCAGCTGTAATACTCTACATGGAAGCTGCAGATGCACAGAAAGTCGGGTCAGCAACACCAGTAACAGATACAGGCTCGAACTGAGTCTGGGACAGATCTGCTCTGCAGTAGGAGGCTGTGTTCTAGCTAGGTTCTAGGTAACCTGTTTTTAATAGTTCATGTTTTAATGTGTTTTTTCCATTACCATTTATCACCCCCTCACCCTCTTCCACCGCCACTCCCCGCTCCATCCCCATCCGGCAATCACCACACTTGTCTGTGTCCACGAGTTCCTTTTCTTCTTTGCTCAGTCCCTCCACTCAGTCCCAGAGCTGTCAGCCTGCTCTCTGAGCTTGTTGCTATTGTGCTTGTTAGTTCAGTTTGTTTACTAGATTCTACATATGAGTGAGATCATATGGTATTTGTCTTTCTCTGACTGGCTTGTTTCACTTAGCATAATGCTTTCCAGGTCCATCCATGCTGTTGCAAAAGGTAAAGTTTTCTTCTTTTTGACAGTCAAATAATATTCCATTGAGTAAATATACCATAGCTGTTTTATCAACAAAAATATTAGCAAACCAAATACAGCAATACGTCAAAAAGATCATATACTGTGATCAAGTGGGGTAACCTTGGTTTTTTGAAAGTATGTCTAGAAGATAGCAAATTTCCAAGTACAGCTGAGATACACTGTGACTAAAATAAACTGAGTTTCATAGGCCACAAACATCTGGACTCATGGAAATAAAATTTCCATCCTTCAAATACAAAAATTGTGCTGTTTGATATTATATTCAATTGGAAGAATAAAGTGCGTATTTTATGTTTAGTTCAGTGCAAAGGAAGGAAGGAGAGAAAGAAAAACGTAAGTATTGCCTGCCCCCAGGACATTATAGTCTAATTGTTTAGACAGAATTAATGAATACAAAACGATGTATTAATGACAAAAGCCATATGGAATTGATAAACTCCATGAAACAGACTACAAATTCTGGGAGAGTCCTGGGATTTAGATATTGTTGTAGGGATATAATTGTGGAGCTGGGGAGATAGATAGTCTAAAATGACTTTTTATCCTTTAGGTCCTAATGGCCCCAAATGACCTAAATAATTCTGTAATTATAATATTTAAGTTCAGTTTTGTTTTAAAGAGCCTCTTACTGTAAGGGAAAATAAAAACGAGTAAAGAATTTCAAAGGGCTTGCTTAAATGGCAAACCTGGATTCTTTCCTCCAAGTTTGAATGTTTGCTGATTAGCTGTAGAACTGAAGCAAGAGCCAGTCCCAGGCCTGAATCTGGCAAAGCTCAGACTCTACATCCTGACCCCTCGTACCCATATTGTAGGGCTGTTTCAAGACAAGGGAAGCATACAGTATAGATTAAATTCCTTTTTGTTCAGCCAATCCAAGCAATAGTACTTGTCACAGGAATCTTCTACTTTACTACAGCAAGTTCCAACACTGGAACTGATGAACCAGGAGGTCAGGTCAGCCTAAGAATATTCAGTACGTTTATCAGATAATGGTATTTTTCACAAATCTATTAAATAGAGCTCATTGTCTTGGAAATGACTTTACAAATTTCATGCCTATATATTTGCTAGTCATACAAACATTCAGGGAAATATTTTGGCATTCAAAATAACCCATAAAATATTTTTCTTGTAGGGTGTATTCAAAAAAGAAGATGATATTGAAATGCTTGGTGAAGAGTTTAGGAAAGCATATCAGAAAAGGAGTGAAGAAAAGTGATATCAAGATTTGGTAAAACCTGGATTCTTTTGTATGTTACCACTAGATGTCAGTGTGATTTTTGTTTTAGTGATAGTAAGAATCTATTGTCTACTTGAATTTTCTAAAACATCTGTTATCATTTGTAAATGGTACTCTATAAGAAAACATTTTTCTTTTCTTATAAAAATTAAAATTACTGAATAGTTTTAACTGCAAAATTATTTGGTCAAATTGTTTTTATACTAAAATTCGAAGATCTGAGTTCTATACCACCATATTACAACTTTTTTTATATTTACATATATATAATGTAAATTACATATATTACAACATATATATATCATATATAAAACCAAACCCAGGAGATTAACATTTCTATACTACTGTTCAGAACTTTTTCTGCATCCCTATTCAGTCCATGCTATGTTTGTGTTTAAGTACTTAGAGTTAATTTGGGTTTAAAGCATCTTTTTCTGAGCAAGCTACGTCGTGGGGAGCAGACAGCCATGCTCAAGCCAAAGGCACAGGACTCAGCAGAAGCCAACCCTGACATCACACTTCTAGTCTCCAGAACTGTAAGACAGTGTCTGTTGATTAACCCACCAAGGTCTGTGGTACTTAGGCAGCTAAGACAATGTTAAGTCTATATTGTTTTAAAACATTAATTTTTAATGTAAATATTTTTAGATGTATCTTTTTTTAAAAAAGCATCTTTTCCTTTGTACTATAAGGGAGGAGAAAAGTAAAGTGTGAGGGATTTCAAAGTGCTTTATTACCTAATGTGCCTAATTTGTCTATCAGAGAAATTGTTTTTAAGTTCTTATTAACTCATTTATAACCTATAGCTAAATCTCCAGAACACATTTTCTATTTATAACCTAGAGCTAAATCTCCAGAACACATTTTCTACTGAAGTGCAGTAGAGAAAGGTTACAAGACAGCAAAATCAAAAGTTAAATTCCTATTTCTTTATTTTTTAAATATAACTTTTCCTAATAATTATATATTGATTTTGTAGTCCCCCAAATGGAATTCCTTAGAACTACTTTGATTTCATTATCAAGTATCTTCATTACTTACTAAGAGTAAACATTCAAAACATTACAACTTAAATGAAACGTGAATCTATCCCACACTGTTGGTCAGACACTGACTGAAGCAGCCCACTTAAGAATCCCCCCATTCGAGCGCCTTCATAAATTCCTCTTCGGTGAAGGACAGCATCCTGGCAGCCTCAATGTGCATCTGCGTTTAAAAGAATCAACACTGTTTAATTTAGTATTAAAAATGAGCCACACAACAAGAAGTCTGTAAGTGTGTGTAATATGCTGTCTACTTACAAGCTCTGCTGTAGGCGTGTGCACTCTAATCCCAATAAATGTATTTGAAACATAACTACACTCAAGGGCCAGCCTATGAAACTCTCTCTGTCCAGCACTGTACCAACCTACTGTTGACAGTTCAATAACCTTTTCAAAAAGGAAAAGGGGCAGAACCACAAATTCGTATCTTCCCACTACCAGGTAACTCATTAGAGGATGGAATAATCGTGGCTTAGAATCAGTTTTCACTCTTTAAGATTTCAAGAAGGCAAACCAGTCCCCTAAGATGATACTCATTCTCGTGTATGGTATGTTCTTAGTTAGGGAGTGCACACACACTGTATTTGCCGGTCCTGGTTACCACATTCCTATTTCCCTGAATGACACATTATATATAAGTCTTATATAAACTTTGTTTAATGCATTTTATATAGATAAAATTTTGTGCCTAAGCATGTCAAAACAAACACCTAAAGGATACTCACCTTCTGCCTTTTTAAAACATCAATTAATTTTAATTGTTTCTTGAAGCCTATCATTAATTCTCCTTTTTGTCTTTCTAGTTTCCTGTTTTCTAATTTTAATGCTTCAATTTTTTTGTGGTCCTCATTTGCTATATCCTGAAAAAGGTAGAAAAATCCCATATATTTATTGCAGTCTTTTAATAAAAAACTATCATCACATCATTAATAAAAACTGTATTATAACTTTGATAACTTAATGATGCTCAAGTCTTTCACATTTTAAAGAATGCTTTTAAAGTAACAACTCAGTTCTGATTCTAGTAATAGCAGCTCATATTGGACCAACTCTCCAGATAGTAGCAAAAATAAATTCTGGACACAATTTTAAAAACAGGCAAAGATGTAGGTGAGTAATCAATAGTAAGCAGAAAGTAGAGGCAATGCAATCCTTGAAAAAATGGAAGCATACTGGTTGAGAGCACTTTCCAGTTCACAGGTTCACGGAGGGTACACCTCAAGTCAAAAGTAACAGTCTTACTGGGCTGAGGAGTGAGAGAGTGGGGCTGCCACAGTGGCAGACATTTCCAGGTGGGAAATCCTGGAGAGCAGGGAGTCCTCAATATCTACATTTATATTTCCCTCAAATCCTTGGCAGACCCCTGAATGGGGATGTACAGGATGAGAGTACTAGCAACAGCTGTGATGTAAAGAGCTGAGTTAGAGATTCAATGACTGCCCATGACAAGGGAGACTGAGTTTGTAATATTGGTAAAAATTAACTAGATGAACTCTGAAGCTATTTGGACAATGCAGGAAAAGTATCAGTGAACTTTAAGAGAGACAGGTCAGAAGTTATTAAGTACAGGGAGATCTTATACAGTAAGTCCTTAAAATCATCGATAGTTTCTCTGATGTTAAGAAAAATAATGTATAATGAAACTATTTTCATTGCAGGCCAATAGATATAAATAAGTTCCTATGGCATGTCATCAACATTATAACAAAACAATATTGAATAAAATGACCTTACTTGAGAATCTGCTATACTTGGAAAAAAGTTAGCAAAAGGAAAATGATACTAAAAGGATATCTGAATCTACAGACACAAAGAAAATAAGATTATCAGAAATAGTAACTTGGTAGACTTTTTAAAAATTTCTTTAAAAGATAATTGGGAATGATGTCAGCAAAATGGCAGAGTATGAAGCTCCGGGCCCTTATTTGTTGGGAACCACCCTGCCTGGTTTCAGAGGCTGTAACTGCCCATGGCTGAGGCTGAGTGAGAGACCTTGGGACCCTAAGCCACTAAGGAGACAAAGCTTATCTACCTGGCAGGGGCACTGCCTCTACCCCTTTTACTTCACCCTGCTTGGCCTCCAGCCTGACCAGTTAGCCAATGATGGGTAAGATTCCTCAAGGGAGGGATGACCTAAGACAGGCATGGTCATGAAGAGGCCCCAGGGAAGGACTTGGGGGTCTATGGAGAAAGGGGGTGACGGACCCTTGCCCCTCAGCTTTGACATAGCCTGAGTCCTCATTCTGTCTGCAAGAAGTCTCCTAATCTCTTGGCTGCCTTACTTCCCCTGCCTGACTTAAGCCTGAAACAACGACAGAGGGCAGTGCAGCCCTGGGCAGGAATGGGCAGTTCCCCGAGGCAATCAGGCTTAAGAAAGAATACATAAAATCTTGTGAAACCTGCTTTGCTAAGAATGCTCTCACTTTTCTGATAAGGATCCCAGCAGGAAATGAGTTTGTTTCCCAAAGTTTTATAGCCCATTAGCTAACTGACCCTGACTCAGAATAAGCCCTCACAGTTCTTTGTATGTTATCTATTGTTTGATCCTTATCACCTGACAATGATTGATGGGCTTTACCTGTATTCCTGTGCAAACTGAACCTAATAAAAGCTCATTGAGGAACAGGTTCCTGGCCCTTCTCCTCTGAGAGATTGGCCACCTTTCCTCCCCAAGCAGATCATGTCTTGGTAAACTTGTTCTCATCTGTGGTGGCAGGGGGTGGGGGGGGGCCCTGTGGGCAGAGCCCCCCCCCAACTTATTCTCCAAGGGACACCATGGAAGCACTGAATATACAATATGCAGATCAGTGCAGCATTGTGAGAACTCTAGAAGCCAATTAAGCAGCAGCAGCAACCATGCAAGAACCACATTCAAAATAGTAGGAAATTTCATTGCATTTATGTTCACCCTTTCACCTCACCCTCTTGGGCATAATGGAAAGTTTCTCAATTCCCAGCTCCTCCCTTGGGATGGAAAGAAAAGAGCACAACTTGGTTGTGATGTTCTGACTTGTACGGGGCTGCCTGAGGGACTGTTTTCTGCCTTACTTGATGGAATGGTAGCATAGTTTGAATATCAAATGGGAGGCTGCTGAGAGCAGTGGTGGGGACTGCTGGACATGAGGGCTGCAGGAGAGCTGCAGAACCACAGGTGCCAAGGGGCAAAAGATTATAGGCAGAGAATAAAATATAACATCTAAGGCCCTGAGGAGAAGCTGGGTTGAGACTCAGGAAATTAAGACATTTAAAAGAGACAAAAACCTTTTAAGACATACAGAAAAAGTTAAAATGGCAACAGGAAGTTCTTCCCTATTAGTAATAACTTGAATTATAAGTGGATTAAAAACAGGACCAACTATATGCTATTTACAGAGATTAACTTTCAGTCTAAGTACATATATAGATTGAAAACGAAAGAATGGAAAAAGATATCCCATGCAAATAGTAACCAATGGAAATAGTAAACAAAAGAACAGGTGTGGCTGTAATATCAGCCAAAACAAAGTCAAAAACAAAGGACTTTATATAATGATAAAAGTGTTAATTCACTAAGAAGCTATAACTATTATAAATATATATGCACAAACATCAGAGCTAAGTATATAAAACAAACAACAGAACTGGTAGGAGAAATAGCCCTATAATAACAGGAGACTTCAATACCCAACTTTCAATAATGGACAGAACAATCTGAAGATTAAGGGAATAGTACCTGAACACTATAAACCACCTGGACCTAATAGACACATTCAGAACATTCCCCCCAACATTTTTCTCAAGTACACAGAGCATCCTCCAGAATAGATCATATTAGGCCACTAAACAAATCTTAGGAAATTTTAAAAGACTGAAATCATACAAAGTCTCTTTCCTGCTCACAATATAACCAAATAGAAATCAATAGCAGAAGGAAAACAAATATCCACAAATATGTGGGAATTAAACAACAAATGGGTCAAAGAAGAAATAAGGGAATTCAGAAAATGTATTGAAACAAATTGTAATAAAACCACAACAGACAAAAACTTATGGGTTACAGTGAAGGTAGTTCTAAGGGGAGAAATTTATAGCTGTTAATGCTTACATTAAAAAAAAAAGACTGCAAATCAACTTAAGTAACTAGAAAAAGAACTAAACCCAAAATCAGTTGAAGGTAGGAAATAATAAAAATTAATGCAGAGTTAATGAATACGTGGTAGAAAAACTATAGAAAAATCAATGAAATCAACAGTTGCTTCTTTGGGGAAAAAAACAGTGAAATTGAGAAACCTTTCCCTAGACTAAGAAAAAAAAATAAGGCTCAAATAACTATTATCAGAAATAAAAGAGGGGATATTACAACTGATACCCCAGAAATATAAAAGATCATAAGAAAATACTATGAACACCAACAAATTGTATAATCTAGACAAAATGGATAAATTAAACTCATAACCTACCAAAACTGAATGATGAAGATACAGGAAATGTGAACAGACCTCTAACTAGTAAGGAGAGTGAAACAGAATTAAAAACCTCCCAACAAAGATAGCCTAGTATCAGATGGCTTTATTGGTGAATTCTCTCAAATATCTAAAGAGGAATTAATACCAACTGTCATTAAATTCTTCCCAAAACATGGTAGAGGACAAAACAATTCCACATTCATTTTATCAAGCCAGCATTATTAACCTGGTACCAAAGCCAAAGACACTACAATAAAATTAGAGAACAATATCCCTGATGAGTATTTGATACAAGAATCTTCAACCAAATAATAGCAAACGGAATTGCACAGCACATGAAAAAGATTATACACCAAGTGGAATTTATTGCTGGATTTGCAAGGATGAGTCATCATATGAAAATGAATGCAACACACCGCATTAACAGAATGAGGGAAAATAATCACATGCTCATCTCAATAGACACGGAAAAAGCATTTCAAAAATTTCAACATCTGTTCATGATAAGCACTCTTTAACAAATTAGAAAGAACATACCTCAACATAATAGACAAGTCTACAGCTAACAAGTCTTCACTCTCAGTGGTGAAAGGCTGAACGCTTTTCCTCTAAGATCAGGAACAAGACAAGGGTGCACACTAACCACTCCTACTCAACATACTACCAGAAGTCCTAGTCAGAGCAATTGGGCAAGAAAAATAAAAGGTATCAGAATTGGAAAGGAAGAAGTAAAACTGTATTTGCTGACAACATGATTTTATATGAAGACTATCCTAAAGACTCCTTGAAAAAACTGTTATATCTAATCAACAAATTAAAACTGCAGGATCCAAAATTAACATTCAAAGATTGATAGTATTTCTGTATACTAATAAATTACCTGTAACAGAACTAAAATAATCCCTTTTATAATTGCATCAAAAAGAATACTTAGGAATAAATTTAACCAAGTAGGTGAGGATCTGTACACTGAAAATTGTAAGACAGTGATGAAAATTATCAAAGACACAAATAAATAGAAAAGAATCCTGTGTTCATGCTGGGAAGAACTAATATTGTTAAAATGTCCATACAACCAAAGCCATCTATAAATTCAATGCAAACCTCTATCAAGATTCCAATAGAATTTTTTACAGATACAGAAAAAAAAATCCTAGAATTTATATGGAACCACAAAAATACCATAGAGACAAAGCAATCCTGATAAAGAAAAATAAATGGGAGGCATCACACTTCCTGATTTCAAAGTACATATAAAACCATAGAAATCAAAATAGTATGATACTACATAACAACAGAATCATAAACCAATGAATGGCACAGAATTGGGAGTCTAGAAGCAAACCCATGCAAATTAGGTCAACTAATATTTGACAAGAGAGCCAATAATATGCAATGGGGAAACTCTCCAATATATGGTACTGGAAAAATTGGATATTCACATGTAAAAGAACAAAACTAGACTCCTATCTTACACCACCCACAAAAATTAACCCAAAATGGATTAAAGACTTAAACTAAGGCCGAAATCCATGAGACTCCTAGGAAAACACCTGATAGTAAATAGTAATATATACCAAAATGTCATCCCACTGTGTTTGAGTGAATCACCTATAATGCAGTCCTGGGGTCAGATGTTTGCCTTGAACACATCTAAGTTGTTTATGCTGAATCGTTCACATACCAAGTCATTATATGAATTTGCAAGATGGCTGACTAGAATTAGGAGACTCATCTGTTGTCATGGAAACAAGTTTTCTACTTCTCTAATGTGTGTGCTAAAATAGAGATCAAATCTACAACCAGAATTAGCAAATCATGACATAATCAGTTATTCCATTTCATTTTATTCAGACTCCCTTTAGAGTGCACCAAATTGGAAGTAATATTCTAATAACATGCTAATTACTGGCAACTCTGTAAAGACTTCCTAATTTGTTCATTTAATAACTTCTATTAATAAGTCCCCATCATAATGCCATCATTGATGGCTCTTAAATATGAACGTAGTAAGATTATACAGTATAAACTATCTCACAGAAGATAACTCAAAATTCTGTATTCATTGCAACATATTTGCCTCTGTTAAAGATGGAGAACTTAACCAAGACCAGTTTTGTTCAATGTCGTCTTATGCTACTAATTTAATCTCAAACATATCATTTTGTATATATAATGAGGGTGGCTACTAATATCATCCAAGCCATTGTTATTAAATATTCACCTAAGGGAGAGATTGCAATGGAGCATCACTGTCAGCTTGACAGAGAACCAAAAACTAATAGGAATATTTATAATGTAAAAAATGTTTTCACACACATTGATATTGAGCCTTCATTTATTTAATAGCTATTTAGGAACTGAGTGCTAATTCTATGACAATTCATTAGATACTGGGAATACAATGGTGATTCTCACAATAACTACAATAGTGGTTATCAAAATGTTATCTCAGAACCAGTGACATCAGCATCACCTGGGAACTTCTTAAAACTGCCTGAGGTCTCACCCCAGACCTAAGAAAGCAGAAACTCTGGAGAGGAGGCCCAGCAATCTATGTTTTAACAAGCCCTCCAGATGAACCACTGACCTATAAAATAGCCCTTTGTATTACATAAAGTCTGTTCAGAAGGTGTCCAGCCATGTAATATGAAAAACAGAGACATTTATTGAAGATAACAAGATACAAGAAACATTGTACATAGGACAATGATGCCTCCTCAGTCCTCTTCAAAGTAGGCTCCTTGGGACCTCAGAGTTCTCCCAGTCACCATCAGCTGCCCTGTTGTATTTTCCTGAATCTCATTAACCAGTCTGAAATTTCCTCCCTTTCAAAGGTGATTTTAGTTTTGGGAAAAGCCAGAAGTCACAGAGCGCCAAATCTGTGCTGTATGGGGCTAAGTCACCTGGGTGATTTGATGTTTTGCCAAAAAATTCTGCATGAGACATGACGCATGAGCAGGGGCATTGTTATGATGAAGCTGCCAATCATCCATTGCCCATAGCTTCTGAATCATCTGAATAGTTCCCCACAAAATGTTCAAGCTTAATGCAAAATTTGATGCAGATTCACTGCTCTACTCAGTCATTTTTAATGCTACAGCCACACAGTACATATGTTCACTCAACAGTGTCTACCACCCCCACTGACTAGTACAGTGAAGTCATCACTGTTCACGCATGTGCACTCCAGTGCACTCTCCTTGGCTCCCAGGTTACATTAATGTCACAATGTCACACAAACCATTCTTGTTATATTAACAATGACTGGACTTTTTCTGGACAGACCTCATGTTAGAAAATTGAGGCTCAAGGAAGAATAAAACAAACTCAAGATACAAAAGAGACTTTCTCCTGCCATTTATCCTAAGATTAGAAAAGTGTTGAGTTCAGGCCAAGAAGGAGGCATAGGAAGAAACCCTCCACTTCCTCGCACAACCAAAAGGAGGATAACAACCAATCTAAAATCAATAAACAACCAAAAGCACCAGAAAATCAAACTTCATGGAACTTCGACAACCAAGGAATTAAAGAAAAAATCAACCAGAACAACCAGACCATTAAGGCTGCAGACCGCACAGGCTGGTCCAGCTCAGAAAAACCGAGGTGAGGTGGTGGACTGTGTGGGCAGGGCTGACTTAAGGGGGAAACTGAGACTCAGAGTTGACTGGACTACAGCAGTTGTCTGGGCCGGAGACACTCCCAGTCTCACATGAGAGTCTGTTGGAAAGTGCACTAGAGATGAGCAGGCAAGCTGCACTGTTCCCTCTTTGGCCCCTCCCCCACAAGCAGCACCTCAGCACAGCAAGGAGGGTTGCCCTGCCCACTTGAATACCTAAGGCTCTGCTTGGTTGAAAAATGAAAAAACAATTTAAATAAAGCAAAATATTCAAGGAACCAACAATGACAGGAAGGAAACCAGGACTCAACACAACACAACAATTTGGAACAAAAGGAAGATATAAACATCCAACCAGAACAGACTGAAGAAACAGGAACCCAAAAATACGAAGAGAGGCTGAGGATTCTCTAGAACAACCTGAAACATTCCAATATCCAAATCATAGGAGTACCGGAAGGAGAACAGCAAGAAATTGAAAACTTATTTGAACAAATAATGAAGGAAAACGTCCTCAATCTGGTGAAGGAAATAGACTTCCAGGAAGTCCAGGAAGCCCAGAGAATCCCAAAGAAGTTGGACCCAAAGAGGAACACACCAAGGCACATCATCATTTAGCTACCCAAGATTAAAGATAAGGACAGAATCTTAAAAGCAGCAAGAGCAAAGGAGACAGTTACCTACAAAGGAGTTCCCATAAGGCTATCAGCTGACTTTTCAGAAGAAACCTTGCAGGCAAGAATTAGCTAGAAAGTATCTGAAGTCATGAAAGTCAAGGACCTACATCCAAGATTACTCTACCCAGCAAAGCTATCATTTAGAATGGAAGAGAAAATAAAGAGCTTCTCAGATAAGGTCAAGTTAAAGGAGTTCATTATCACCAAGCCATTATTATATGAAATGTTAAAGGGACTTATCTAAGAAAAAGATAAAAAATATGAATAGTAAAATGACAACAAACTCACAACTATCAATAAATGAACCTCAAAGAAAAGAAAAACCATGAAAATAAAAACTAAGCAAACAACTAGAACAGGAACAGACTCAGAGAAATGGACATCACGTGGAGGGATTGTAGTGGGGAGGGTGAAGGGAGGAATGGGGGGAAAGTACAAGGCAGAAGAAGCATAATTGGTAGGCATAAAATAGTCAAGGAGAGATAAAAATGGTATAGGAAACAGAGGACTCAAAGAACTTATACGTACAGCCCATGGACATGAACTAAGAGGGGTGGGGGGTGCTGGAGGCACAGGGCAGAGAGGGGATAATGGGAAAATTGGGAAAACTATAATAGCATAATCAATATAAAATACTTAAAGTGTCTGGCATGTAATATGGGTACACAATTAAGTTTGGGGGGCTGAAAAAAATGAATCCTCCAAGGAGTTGTGCTATCCCCCAATTACAGCACCAGCCCAAGCAACATAACCCAGTTTATTGAAAATGTATCTATTGATAATGAATGTGTTTCTTCTGAAAAGAGAAATGCTCACCATGACAAGAATTATAATTTAGTAACTACTTAGTTTTGACTCTTGCATAAAAGAGGAGGTTACCAAAGGTGATCACTACCAAAACCATTCAGTTTTTCCATACCTTGTTATTTTGCCTTAATTTATTTAGCTCCAGTTTATACTTTTCTGCTTCTTCTAGAGCTCTATTCAAACGAACTTCTGTGGCACTTTGGCTACTGGCAGCTTGTTTTTGCAGTCTTCTTTTATTTTCTAGCTCCTGTACAGTAAAAGAAATATACAGACCATTTATAAACATAAGTTCCCTCTATTATTTTGCAACACTTTTCATTTCCATATTCCTTGCTTTCTCCCAAATTTTACACACACACACACACACACACACACACACACACACCGCCAGAGGCTGCACACTGAGTGACAGAGGTCTCAGAGAATTCTTACTCTGAATTGGTATTAGGAAAATATATCTTTGAAGATATCATCATAAATTTAGCTTTCAAATTAGTTTCTGTTTGGAATTTTCTGCCTGCTTTTATCAACCCCAAGATAGAGTATAACATGCCCTCTATTTTATAAGCAACTCTTTGTAACTATAGTTATTCCTTAGGGAACCACCAAAGCACCAATGTAAGACACAAACTCACAAATACTGTGTTTGTGTAAACTTGACAAAGGGTATCATTTAAAAAAAATAGTTGTTAAATACAGAACATTCTATATTAACCTTACTGAGAAATCTCAGTTCTGAGCATAAACAACAGATCTTATTTTTCACATATCAGGGTGGCTTTAGACCTGCATTTCCGCGAATGTTCAGATACAGCTACAGAGTATCTGTATTCCACACATGAAGAAACAAGAACATGGAGGATAAACTTCTAACTCTGCCATAATCTGGCACCACAATCTTACCTCCTGCCACAGATGTTACCTTTGGCTATAGCAGTAGTACCTAGATCCCAAAAAACTATGATTTTTCTTTCCTCTGAGCCTTTGCTCATGCTCTTCCATCTGCCCTGATTCTTCCCTGCTTCTCATTTTTACCTGGCTAGTACCTCCTCACCCTTTATGACATCTAGGGCAATACATGATGGTTTTACCTTCTCCCATAAGCCTTTCCTCACTATCTTTCTCACTATCCTCCCAGGCTAGATTAGGTGCACTTTCTTCAGAGCTTCTGTGCATCTTGATACGCATATATCATTGTACCTGTTATGTGCAACTGAATATCCATTTTGTTCCTTGCCCCCCGCACTATAGTGTAAACTCCTCAAGCATAGGAACTGTCTCAATTTCTATGTTCCCAGCACTTGAGTGGCATATAAGAGGCACTGGTGATATGTTTATTGAATGGAATTTATTTTGTAATATTTAATCTTCTTTGCATCACCTACAATGCCTATAACAGAGCCTTTTTACAAAGAACATACTCAATAAATATGGGACTGAAATGATGCAGTTAAAAATACAGATGCCTATTTTCTTCTTTTTAAGTTTTCCTCCTGGCTGTATCACTGTGCTTTATTTGAAAACTGATCTCCCTGGCTCTGAGTAATTAAGGGGAAACAAAACAAAACACATGCTGCTCTTTATGCAGGCTCCTAAACAAATCAAACTGTGCACGGATACCATCTGCTGCCACCAGCCTTCTTCACAGCTTTCTGGGTGGTAGCTTACGCTGAGAGCAAGCCTGATGTATCTCACTGTTCACACAGAAAAGGCAGGGATTCTCACCAACTACAAAGTCCACAATTCTTGGTGACTTTGTAACCTACTTCACAAAAAAATGAAAACCATCCTTCACCACATGATGTTCCCCCCAACTCCTGAATCAACAACACTGTCAGCTCCCTTTCCTGGGAGAAGTGAGAAAAAAAAAAAGGATAGTCAGAAGAATAGCAAAGTAGGAAATAAAGTCTTTCTATATAAGTAAATTCATACAGAAAGGAAAAACATCACAGAAACTTGAAAACATTTATTTTCAATCATACTCAAGTACTTTTTACAAAGTTCAGACAGGATACCAATACTGCTATGAGCCTGCATCCCCAAAATACTCAGTAAAGTGAATCTGTGGCTACAAAAAATTAAGCAGTTTTCATATTGCTAGAAAAAAAATGTTTTATGAAAAATCTTAGGCCCTGAGTTTCATACTAGTTTTCAAAGAAAAAGCTGTATAGCTTAAAGATAATCAAGTCTAACTTTAAAACTCAAATACTATGAGATCCAAGAAGAAATAATGTCATTCTCTCACAATTTTTAAAGCATTCATAAGTCACTAGAAGAGGGCAGGAAGAAAAAAAGAGTATGTATCAGTAGTATAAGACAAAATGTTGTAAATGCTTTAAGAGTAACATAAAATGCCATAACAATTCAGATGAGGAATAATCAGATGTAGACAAATAATCAGATAAGCTTCTAGAAAAAAGTAGCTAAAAAACAAAAAAGCAATAAACTTGGAAGTCTGAAAACCTGGCCAGTTATGGTAGACTCAGTTTCCATATCTGATATTGGGCGTAATAATATCTTATTCAACACATTTATTGAACACTGACTATGCATCTTGTCACATACTATTCTGCATGATGGACACATGCTAATTAACTGAAGTTCTTCCCTTACAAAGCTTGAATTCTAAAGGAAGAGACATAATACATACATACATACATACATACATACACATATATATGTAATATCTGGGATAAGGGCTATGAAGAAAAATAAATGGTAAGGGCAAAGAGCAGTGGGGGAGAGGGCCTAATTATGATAAAGTGGTTAGGGTAAGGCTTCCAAATGAGGGAATGATTTACGTAAAGATCTGGGGGGAAGAATTAGACTGGAGGAACAATGAAGAGAAAGACACTGAGGCAGAAATCTACTTAGTATATTCAGAGACCACCAAGACGATCAGTGTAGCTTTAGCTGAGTGACACAGGCACAGTGTTATTAGATCTTGAGAGAGTAAAAATAGGCAGGGGAAGCTTAGGAGGATCCTATAATCCCTTCCTGAAGTTTAATTTTATTCTGAATGATATGGGAAGCCTTTGGAGGGTTTTATGTAGGATGTGTATATGTGTATGCGTGGCAGGGATGCCTGTGTGTTGTGACCTAAGTTTTTTAAGGATTATTCTAGCTACTGTGGTATTGCTACTGAGTGTAGGAGTATCTATCTAGGTCACTGGAATGGTATAAGGTTAGGATAGGGTAGAAGTAATGAAGTTTTGACAAGCGGTTAATTCTATGTATTTGGAAAACAATTGGTAAGACTTGCTAATGGACTGGATGTATGTGTGGGGAAACAGAAAGATCAAGATGACTCCTGGATTTTGTAATGAAAAGTTCGTTGTCTTTTACTGAGAGGGAGAAGAGGAGAGACAGGTTTACAGAGGGCAGGGAAACAAAAGCTCCCTTTAGGGCATATGAAGTTTAACCAAGTAGAGCTATCAAGTAGCAGCAAGATGTAAGAGTCTAGGTCTCAAAGAAGAGGTCAGAGTAAGAAAAAGAAATGTGGGACCGATCAGCACATGGATGGTGCATAAAGCCATGGGAATGAATGAGAGCACGCCAGAGTTGGATGCAGACAGAGAAGAGAGCAAAGGACTGGGCCTTTGACACTCCAACATGCAAAGGTAAGGAAAAAGAGGAACAAAATCAAGACCGTGGTGCTCCAGAAGCAAATGGATAGTATTTCAAGGAGGGAGTAATCAACTATGTCAAATATTACTGAGATACAAATTACTATGAGGAAGAATAACTGACTAGAATTAGCAATGTGGATTACTGGTAACCTCATTAAAAACAATTTCAGTGGCAGAACCGAGATGGATGCCTAACTGGAGTAATTTCAGGAGAGAATGACAAATGAGGAATCTCTATTTGTCCATTGAGTTTGGACAATTATTTCAAGGTGCTTTGCCATAAAGGGGAGCAAAGGTACAGGGCTGGAGGTAGATGTGAGATCTACAGAGGTCTTTAAAAATATATGTTAGAGATTCTATGGTATGTATGCTAATGTGACTAATCCAGTAGATGGAATAAATCTGATTTTTGCAAGAGAAATAAAGGATAATTATAGGAGCAAAGTCCTTAAGTAGAAGAGAGGGTATGAGATTCAGTCCACATTGATCGACTTTAGACAGAAGAGTAGCAATCCATCATAATGAGGGGGAAAGCAGAGTAAGTGGGTTAGAGGCAGGAAAGTCAATAGATTTAGTAACAGGATGAGGAAGAGTTACCTTCTTATTCCATTTACTTAATAGGGGGCAAAGTTGAACTGAGAATAGGAAGGTTGGAAGAGGTATTGGAAAACTGAGGTGAAAAGATAACCTGTTTAAAAATCACCTCTGAAATTTGGAGAGGGAACTGACCTCTCAAAAAGTGGGAAGGGAAAATGGCATTACACTTGGTATTTGTAAATAAATTTAAAGTAGAACCAATCCACTTTGATTTTTGTCCAGACATAATTCACTGGTCATGCATGAGTAATTATGCAGTAGGGAGAACTCACGTCTAACAAGGTGTGGGTTTAGCCCACACACTACATTTGCAGTAAATTAAGAATACTGGCAATGGGGGGTAGAGTTCAAGTCAAGAGAGTGGCACAGATAAATGCTGTACTCACATCCTTCCACAAGCACATCGAAATTACAACTAGACTACAGAACCATCATTCTGAACCACCTGAAATGTAGAGGAACAACAGTCTTACAATGAAGGATATAAAGAAGCCACATCAAGACTGGTGGGAAGGGTGCAGACAGCACAGGCCAGTCCCACACACGAGGCAGTTAAAACTTGGGAACTGGGAGGGATATATTGGCTGTGGAGGTTTCCCTGAGGAGTAACAGGTCCGAATACATCAGGCCCTGCATCACAGTGCTCGGAAGGAAAGTCCCCATAACTTCTGGCTGTGAAGACCAGCAGGGATTGTGGCTGAGTGAGATGGTAAGCTCCTAGAGTCCCAGGTGTTCCTCTTAAAGGGCCCACCCACAGACTTACTTGGACTTACTCGCTCTGAGCTCCAGCACTGAGGCAGCAGCTTGTAAGGTGCCAGGGACATACAAGGAGGAACTTAATTGTCTGGCTTTGGGGCCAGAGTTGGAGTGGTAGCTTTCTCCCAGACAAAAGTGCTGGCAGTGGCCATTGTTCCTTTACTGAGCCTTCCACGCAGAAGCAGCACACAGGTGCCATATCTGAGTCTCTGTCAACCTGGCTAACTAAGACTGCTCAACCCAACTTGCTAGTCCACTCAGGTCATTTCCAATAGCTTTTCCATACAAATGGCCTATCTTGGATCATGCTGCAGAACTTTCTAAACCTTCTCAAAGGTTCATAAATACTAAACAAGCAGCATCAGGTCTCAGCATGCCCTGTACCTCTTGCTAATTAGCCTCATGCAGGGCACTAGCAGCAACTGGCCTTGGTTCGCAGCTTGATTTCTCTTAGGTACTGCCAGGCCCAGCACAACTAGCAACAATCTGCAGATCACTACAGCACATGCTGGGTGGCCCCAGGCAGGGCACAGGTGACAGCTGATTTTGGCCTACACCTCCAGGGAGCCCCAGAGCCAGTGCACCTGGTGCTCAGCTTCAGACCATGCCAGAATACCACCCAACCACCTCTACGAGTAACACACTCAAGGCTCCAACTCACTGGGCACGAGAGCCCCACTGAAGCTAGTCCTGCTCTGTAGTGTCAGCCTCCATACAGCAGCTCATCTAATGTCGTCACTGTAAGGCTTCACAGCCAGTCAGCCTAAGAGTCAATCCCAACCAGTGACATGCCAACAGCAGTCTGGGCTCAAGTAAAACAGGAAAGTGCACACAGCCCACACAGGGGGTGCCAGGTGGAGCACCCAGCTCAGATGACTGGGGAGGTTGTGCCACTGGGACCCATGCAACACCCACTACCTAAGGCCATTCTACCAAGACCAGAAGATGTAACAGCTCTACCTAATATATTGAAACAAATGCAGGGCGGTAGCCATAGTAAGGAAAAAAGGAAATAGGTCTTCAAAGAGAAATCAGAACAAAACTCCAGGGGGGAAAGAAAACCTAAATGAAATGTAGGCACGCAATCTACCAGATACAGATTCAAAACACTGGTTATAAGGATGCTCAAAGATCCTAGGGGAAGAACAGATGAACTCACACAAAGTGATAGAGACCATAAAGAAGTCAGAAATGAAGAATACAGTAACTTAAATGAAGAATACATTAGATACAATCAACTGCAGATGAGATAAAGCAAAGGACTGACTCGACTATTCTGAAGACAAGGTAGTGGGAAACACCCAATCAGAACAACAAAGAGAAAATAATTGGAAAAATGAGAATAGTAAAAATGACCTCTTGGATAACATCAAGTGTATTCCAACATTTGATAACAGAGGTATTAGAAGAAGAAGAGAGAGCAAGCAAGGGACTGCAAATCTATTTTTATGAGGCCATTGTTATCCTACTCCCAAAACCAGATAAAGACAAACAAAAATACTGTAAGCCAATACCCCTGATGAACACAGATGTTTAAATCCTCAACAAAAGATTACCAAACCAGATTTGGCAACACATTAAAAAGACCATACACCATAATCAAGTGGGATTTATCCCAAGGATGGAAAGGTGGTACAATATTCACAAAGCAATAAATGTGTGAGAATTCCGGTCAAGATGGAGGTGCAGGTAGAAACCCTTCGCTTCCTCGCACAACCAAGAGGAGGATAACGAGAGGAGGGTTTAAGGGGACTAAATGGTAATAGAAAAATATAATAAAGATTATATATTTTAAAAAATATTGTCCTTTATATGGGAGAAGAGTATTTATTTATTTATTTATTGTACTTTTTTCCATTACCATCAAATCTTATGGGGAAAGAGTTTTTAGTCAATACTAACAAAATAACTAAACCAAAAGTGGTATCTATACAAAGGTGTAGCTTCAGTATTTTAGTGCATCTTTGGCATTAACTTAGGAAAAATAGCAAAATAATTACCCTTTCTACTGAAGACAGCTGTTGCTGTAATCCATCACATTTTTTGTTTGCTTCTTCGAAAAGAGTTTTATATTTTTCTGCTTGAGATTGCTGTAAATTAATCGTTCGCTGCTGTCTCACACAATCTTCCTCAAAATTTTTTACTTGAGACTTTAAATCCTGAATTTCATCCTCCTATAGTTATGAAATTATAGGTTATGTGAAAAAGTGCATATGACTTGCTATCAAGACATAAGGCCGAAAACAAAAAACTTCATGTGATCTTTGATTTTCATCTTCAAAAACGGAAGTCAGACATTGTATTTGTGTTTAATAGCTTACACTTGTAATTCTAATATAGAGAACTCTAAATGCTAACAAGTGTTTAAGATTCTTTAGCTCTGAAAATTCAACATCTTCGAATGAAGTTCAGTATTTACATAAAAATATTTTTGGATTCAAAATTTCAGTGAACATATCTCAATGAAACTATTTTTAAAATAAAACTGAAATTGCTCTTAAAACATTGCTTAATATTAGAGCATGTATATTGACAGGTTTTAAAAACTTACCTTTTTATTGCATTCACATACAACATTATCCAATTCCTGCTGCATAACATGGAGTTTGGCCTTCAGAAATCTGATCTGTGCTTCTGTGGATTTAAACAATTATATTTATTGCCTTTCACTGAATCTAAGATGTCATCATTTGCTCGACAGACCATTATACTATGAAATAACAAAAATGCACAAGACGGCAGTCTAACAGGAGATCCCTGTTTGGGAACACTAAACACCCTAAGTACCCCCAAATCCACCCAACAGAAACAAACTGTTCACATCTCAACAATGGAACCAAGTAAAGAAAGCAGGAAAAACCCAAAACCACTCCTGAGAATTTGAACCATAAGACAGTATTCATAGACTGAATTCACATTTACCAAGATGGTCCAAAACACCTCAAACAGAATGTAAAGTAGTCTCAGGTCAGTGATGTCCTCATGTGTTTGGCAGAAGCAAATAAAACCTCTCCAGCAAAACTAGACTTCAAACCCAGTCATTGTGGTTACAAAATGCCTTTGACTATAAGACACACCTCAATTTCACAGAAGTTAAAATGTATTTTAGAAACAAAGAAATACACTAACCTTATTGCCAAAGGTTTCTCCCACAAATCCTCTTTAAGATCTACCTTTATTCAATAACATCAGCGATAAATCTTTGAGGTTTATAGGTAAATAAAAGTAAATAAAGTGAAAAATGAACACAGAACTCACTGGTAATTCATTCAATCATTTACTCCAAAAATATACATTAAGTCTCTGCTGTATTTGAGGTATAGCAGGTTTACATATAAGGCAAGCTTTGCCCTCATAGAGCTTATCGTGAGTAAACACTCTTAATTGTCTCTAAGAAGTCATTAGGATAAATCCCACAGAGTGCAAAATGTCTCCACACACTTCCAATTCCAAAGCTTGTTTGCATAGTGCCCAGTGTTGCCATGGAGCTGATGAACTATGGCTGGCTCTAATCCACCTAGATCTGCCTAGCCTCAACTCTCTTCTCCTGTAACTTCAGGCTAATAGAGGATAAAAGGTGAAAGATACATTCCAAAGTGCAACATTTGCAGTAGCTGCTCTCTAAGGGCAAAGATGGAAGAGTGGAAGAGCATGATTTTTCTTACCCTCTCTCTCTCCCCAACTTTAGGTCCCTAGCACTAAGCTCCCCATCCCACTCCAACTTTAGTCTTAAAAGCAATCTGTGCTGTTAAACTACTTTTTGATCTTGTCTTTCCCCAGGTAACCCTAGGCAATCATCTGGAATAAAAAAATAAAAGGTGATACAACCTAGGTCAAAACTTGTCAAAAGGGAGATAAAATGGCAGAGAGGTGACTCAGCAGTAAGAAAAAGCAGCAACTTAAGGTATTATTCTGTTTGTGCTGGTTCCCTGTGTCCCGGAGGGGGAATGCTGTCACAGAGCCGTCGTGACTGTGCACTGAGAACAGCTAACATCTAACCACTGTTACTTGAAGAGGTCTTAACAGAGACATAAAGGCAACTTCCTAGTTCATTTAACTTCCTCCTGACAACTAGCCCCAGAAAACTTGGGTAAGTCAATAAATGTAACAAATGCATAAATGAATTGCTCCTCATTTATGGCTAACTAGCATGCAGCATGATAATCATTATACATATAATTGTGATTTTCACAGAATCAGAGAATTTTAAAAATAAAGTTTACAATCATCTAATACAAACTGCTAAATTTTGAAACTAAAATATTATTATAGAGGGGCTAAGTAGCTTACCTGAACTCACAATTAATTATAGTTCATCATTAACTATGTTCACATACACTCAACTGTCTCATATTTTGTTTAGAATAGCACAGGTGGCTCATAAATTTAACAGAATTTTAGAGGCATTACTGGTAACTGACATAATGATCTGAAGAGTATTATTATTTTTCTAGGGTATGAAAAAATAAATTTATAAGAAAGAAAATTATATTCATTAGAAAACTCACTTGATCATTTTACCTGATGCTACATCTGTAAATCATTTACCTTTTGCATATGTTAATTTAATATGCAATAAGTAGAATACAGTAATGGTACATGAAAAATATTCAAAGAATCATGTTTTTTAATTTTAATGTTTTAATGATTAGACTTGGGACATTTTAACCTTAATTGAAGAGCAGCAATGAAACCAATACCATGAAAGCAAAGAGACTAGTTTAATGAAACCCTACTTACCCATCATCCATTTTCAACAATTACTGACTCATAACCAATTACTTCATTTATAATCCCACTCATTCCTTCTATCACCATGTCCTACTAGTGATTTTAAAACAAATACAAGAAATCACAATACACTTTTAAATGCCAAAAAGTTCCTAAATAACTGTGATGTAAACATAAGAAAACCTACCTGTTCCAATGTCTTTACTAACACCACAAAAAATATCATCATCTATATAATCAGGTAAGCCTTCTTCTTCCAGTTGCCCTTCAATTTTGCTAACTGTTTTTGCAAGAGAAAAGTCTGAGAAATCCTCTGGAATGGCAACATCATTGGCAGTTGGTACATCAGAGTATTTCAATTTTACACTAAAAAAATTAAATATATAAATGTATGTTATATATACTGGCACTATACATATAATATTAAAAGAAGGTATGACTCCTAGATATGACTTTTATCCAAATAACAAAGCATATCAAAATTACTGTAAATTTTAAATTTCTGATAAAATCTTTAATTGAAACTTTCAAGCCTATACTATGAGATTTAGTAGACTGTCAATCTTTATGAATCACACAACCACAGAACTAGAGAAGGTTTTATGAGGCCAGTTTGTTTGGACATTGCCTCCAAACAAGTGAACATCAAAACTAAGAGTGCTGCCCTGGCTGATGTGGCTCAGTTTGTTGGGCGTTGTGTCCTGTGGACCAAAAGATGATGGGTTTCATTCCCAGTCAGGGTAACTGCCTGGGTTGCTGGTTCAGTCCCCAGTTGGGGAGCATGTGAGTGGCAACTGATGGATGTTTCTCTCTCACATCGATGTTTCTCTTCCTTTCTCTCACCCTTCCCTTCTCTCTTGAAAAAAAAAAAATCAATCATGTCCTCTGGTGAGGATTAAAAAACAAAACAAACAAAAAAAAACTAAGGGTACTGAACTTGGCCTACTAGGTCAAACCTAACCTGAGGCTTATAACCTTACATGGAGAACTGCACAAATTGATAGCACTCTAGCCGTAATTCTGAAAACACTAAAGAAAAATACCTCTTGAGAAAGAATTACAGAGTGAATAATTATTAGTGCAAACTCAACATTTTTTTTTCAGCCTAAAGAAATACATTGTAACTAGAATCAAAGTTGAACTAAATATTGAATTTGATTTTTTTAAAGAAGGGAATATGAAATACAAGTTACTTCTAAAGGCACTGAGGAATGTGCCAGGCCTAACCCATCAACTTTATGGTTCCAAAAGCCTTACTTTTTACTTATTTTAATTATAACTTACTTTTGACATACAAGCAAAGGCTTCTAACTTTTATTTAGAAAAACAACCTTTTCTTTACAAAGTAAACTTGAAGTCTAAAAACAAGACAACCCCTTCCATACACATATATATATATGTACGTTCCTATGTATGTAGTGTATGTTCCTTTTTCTTCAATTAATTTTAGATTTTCTCTTCCTATCCTTTTGCTCTACTTTTCTCTTTTTTATTGAAAAAACAAAAAGGTTAGTTAGCCAATTAAAAGACACAAAAATTATCAAAGATTTATTCCCAATTTATACTGCAATTAGTAGTTTGGGTAAATAACAGACATATACATGTAATAACTTACTGTGAATAAAAGACTGACTGGGACAGCCCACGACAGCTGTGGCCCTCTGTGTTAGAAGGCCTCCTAACCAAAGGGACTCTTGTGTCCGATTTGATGCTTAAAATACTAAGAACAGCCTTGAATTCTTTCTCATCAAAAACAACAGGATGTAAACTATAATTATAGTCTTAGTTAGAGCCATATATCTCAATATATATATAATAAGGTATGGTGCCCTGTTAAGTACTCAAAAAGTATATGACTATTTCATTTAATTAAGAGATTTAGGCAGAAAATAACACCTAGCTTCTAGTCAAGGTTCTGAGAAAATATCTCAACAAAAATAACATAAATTTTTGAAATATGATTTTGCTTAAGAAAATACAAAATAGCTGCTATAAGACATTTCTAAGAAGAAAATGTTTTAAATTACTGAATGTGACTAGATATATACAGTATAATTTTGTCTGTTTGGAGGTAAGACATCTGAAGAAAAAGAAAGCTCAATAATTAAGAATATTATAAATTATAAAATTTAGAAAAGAAAATATGCTTTGAAAACTATACTATACCTTGAATTTGTTTTCCTTCCTTTATTTGCAGAGTGTAGTTTTTTTTGAACCTTGTTTACTGGATCAATGTTTTTGGTCTTGGGCTACATGAAAATAATTTAAATGACTGATTAATTAGATTCTAAAATTCCTTAGGGTACAGACTCATTTCACTTAGAATTTTTCCAGCGCATCTCCAAAATGTTCAGTGAAATTATGAGACAAAAAAGAATTCCACTTATTTTATAAGCAAATTTCATGAAGATATCTTCTGAGATCAAGGCTTACATTCTATTTCTAGAGTCATAACCCTTCTCTGTTTTCTCTAAGTTTAAAAGTCCTACATTTTACAGAATGTAATTACATGCACAAAAAGTCTGATTTCATACCTGAGTTTCTGAATGTAGATGAACTGATCCTTCAGATAACAGACCCCTAAAGACCAAAAATAAACATAAATTAAAAAAGATGATACTAATCCAAGAAACAATAAAAGGGAAAATATATATCAAGTAGACTTTGCTATAATTCTAGTTATGTATATGTTAATTTATTTAACATGAGTATCATAAACAAGGAAAGTGCTTTGGTTAAATAATTCACCTTGAAAATGTAGTACTTGAATCTTCCCACAACCACATCAAAATTACAACTAAACTACAAAACAAACATCATTCAGAACCACCTGAAATCTAGCTGAATGTAAGTCCCACAACGAGGACTTTAAAGAGGAAACCATATCAAGACTATTGATGGTGGGGGGAATGGAGACATGGAAGGAGCTTGTCCCCCACCCATGTGTGGTGGATAAAAATCAGGAGGGACAGCTCAGCTGTAGAAGTCCCCCAAGAGGAGTGAGGGGTCCCAGGCCCACACCAGGCCCCCCAGCCCAGGGCTCCAGTGCCAGCAAGAGAAGTCCCCATAACTTCTGGCTGTAAAAACCAGCAGGGATTATGGCTGAGTTAGACCAAGGGCTTCTGGAGTCACAGGCAGTTCCTCTTAGGACTTGCACACAGACTTACTTGGACTCTCTCCCTTTGAGCTCCAGTGCTGGGGCAGTAGTCTGAAAGGAACCAGGGAGACATATGGGAGGAACTGAACTGTCCAGCATCGGGACAACAGCTAGGTGGGGTGAGCAACTTTCTGTGAGACACAAGTGATGGCAGAGCCCTGGCTGGGTAGCTCAGCTGCTTAGAGCATCATCCCAATATGCCAAGTTCGCAGGTTCGATCCTCAGAGCACATACGAGAATCTACCAATGAATGCATCAAAAAGTGGAACAATAAATTGATGTTTCTCTCTCTCCCCCTCCCCTTTGTCTCTCTCTAAAATCAATAAATTTTTTTAAAGTTTTTTAAAAAGTGCTGGCAGAGGCCACTGTTCCTTTTCTGAGACTTGCCGCCCTCCAAAAGAGTCAACAAGAAGGTGCCATATCTGACTCTCCATGCTCACAGTGTTCACCATGCCCTGGATTCCCTGAGACCCCACCCAACTTGCGAGCCCACCTAAGCTGTCTCCAGGGGCTTTTCCACAAAAATGGCCTGTGTTAGCTAGCTTATGCTTCAGACTTTCTTAAAAATCTCTCAAACAAGCAGCATCTAGGCTCAGCATGCCCCTTATCTCTAGCTAAGTGGCCCCAGACTTGACACTAGCAACAGCTGGCCTTGGTTCGCAGCTTGGCTTCACCAGAGCACCTCCAAGCCTAGCACGAGTAGCAGGCGCCTGAAGATTACTTTGTAGCTCATGCCAGGTATGACTGATCTTGGCCTCACCTCTGGGGAGGATCTAGAGCCAATGTACCCAGGTGACAGCTTCAGACCACCCAACCACTTCTACAAGTAACACATTCAAGAGGAGGACTCAGAAGGCACCAGAGTTCTGCCAAGTTAAGTCCTTCTCCATAGGGTAGGCCCTTGGAAAGCTCTCCTCCATGATGGCCAGTAGTCACAACCAGATCAAGCAACCAACCTGCCTGGGAATAAATCCCTTCCATTGATGTGCCTACAGCAATCAAGGCTCAATACAACAAGAGGATGGATGTTCACAGTCTACACAGAAGGCACACCTCAAGCCCCCAGCTTGGGCAATAAGGGAAGCTGTGCCACTGGACCCTGCAGGACACCTACTACATTAGGCCACTCAAGCAAGCCCAGGAGACATAGCAGCTCTAATACATAGAAACAAATATGGGGAAGCAGCCAAACTGAGGAGACAAACGTGTCCCAAAGAAAAGAACAGAACAAAATTTGAGAAAAAGAACTAAACAAAATGGAGACAAGCAATCTACTAGATGCAGAGGTCAAAACACTGGTTATAAGGATGCCCAATGAATTCAGTAACAACTTCAACAAAGGGACAGGAAACATAAAAACAAAGATAGAAAACATACACAACCAGTCAGAAATGAAGAACACATCAAAGGAATCAACAGTAGAATAGACGAACAGAACAAAATCAGGGATTTGGAGTATAGGGAAGCAAAAAACACCCAATCAGAACAGCTAAAAGAAAAAAAGAATCTGGAGAGCTTCCAGATGAAGGCAAAGCAGGCGATCTTACACTCACAGTCTCTGGATCCCTGTACTGAGTCATCATCCAATACCGCGGCAGCCCTCTTTCTTGGGTGCAGCAATCCTCTCCCAGCAGTATGAACCTGGGAAACAGCAAGGATGCCACCCTCTGGAATTTTTCTCACCCCACCATGTGGCTGTTAAGCCCTGTGAGGAGTCAGTGGCATAAGCTGGAGCACAAAATTCTAGGTTGGCTCAGGAGGTGTCAGTGACTGGCTTTAGGGTGGGGCCATTTCCCCAACTTTCCCATGAAAATGAATGGTGCTTCCCCTCATGGAAGATCAGATAGAAACACTCTCCCTGCTTCCAACAGACCCAACCTCTGGGTTTTGGAGGCCTCACCAGCTTGACTAAAAGGGGCTCCACCCTGCCAATATTAAGGAAAAACCCAGGAAAGACTCAGACATGTGGCTCTCAGGTAGGGAATCACACACACTATCTTCCCTAAAATCTCAATTGGCACATCCCCTCACAGGAGGGGAGCCCCATCCTCCCAATCACCACCATAGGATCTTTCAGTGACTGAGATTTTTTAATAACCTAACAGCCAGCCAACTGGCAGAGGCAGAAGGCAGCAGATCCCCGTGTGCCTTGGGGCAGTTGTGGACATGCCCCTGGGCCCTATGCTGGTAAAAGCCAGCCTTGGAGCGCACTTGATCCTACCAGTGCACAGCCAAGCCCAGAAGAGGCAGCCAAAAACTGCGGATCACATGCAGCTTCAAATAGGTTGCCAAGGAGCAGGCATAGTCATTATTTTACAACAGAGTCCATCCCAAAACACCTAGAACCAATACACCAAGTGGCCAGCCTCAGAAAACCTCGCAGGAGGAACCAACAAGCTTCATAAACAGCACATCCAAAGTGAGATCACAGTAGGCACTAAACCGCCCAGAAAGAGGCACCACTCACAAGGAGGAAGCAGGCACCACCCAGAAGCAGGTACCACCCAGAAAGAGGCACCACCCACAAGGAGGCACCACCCACAAGGAGGCACCACCCAGAAAGAGGCACCACCCAGAAGGAGGAACAACCCAGAAAGAGGAACAACCCAGAAGGAGGCATCACCCAGAAGGAGGCACCAGCCAGAAAGAGGCACCACCCAGAAGGAGGAACCACCAACAAGGAGGCACCACCCAGAAGCAGGCACCACCCAGAAAGAGGCACCACTGAGAAGGAGCCACCACCCAGCACCCAGAAGGAGCCACTATCCACCAGGAGGCACCACCCAGAAGGAGGCTCCAGCCAGTGCCCAGAAGGAGACACCAGCCACCACCCAGAAGGAGGAAGAGGAGGAGGAGGAGGAGGAAGAAGGAGGAGGAGGAGAAGGAAAAAAAAGGAGGAGGAGGTGAAGGAAGAAGAAGGAGGGGGAAGAGTAGAAGGAAGAAGAAGATGATGAAAGGAGAAGAAGGAGGAGGAGGAAGAAGAAGGAGGAGGAGGAAGAAGAAGGAGGAGGAGGAAGAAGTAAAAGGAGGAGGAGGAGGAGGAGAAGGAAGAAGAAGAAGAAAGATGATGAAAGGAGAAGGAAGAAGGGAGAAAGAAGAAGGGAGAAGAAAGAAGGAGGAGGAGGAGGAAGAAGAAAAAGGAGGAGGTAGAGGACGAGAAGGAAGGAGAAGGAGCAGGAGGAGAAGGAAGAAGTAGAAGAAGGAGGAGGAGAAGGAAGAAGAAGGAGGAGAATAAGAAAAAGGAGGAGGTGGAGGAGGAGAAGGAGGAGAAGGACGAAGGAAAAGGAAGGAGAAGGAAGAAGAAGGAGGAGAAGGAAGAAGGAGGAGGAGGAGGGAGAAGGAGGAAGAGGAAAGGAGGAGGAGGAGGAAGAAAGGAGGAGGGACGAAGAAGAAGAAAGGGGGAAGAGAAGGAGGAGGAGGAGAAGGAGAAGGAAGAAGGAGAGGAGGAAGAAGGAGGAGGAAAAGGAGAAGAAAAGAAGGAGAAGGAAGAAGGAGGAGAAGGAGAAGAAAGTAGGAGGAGAAGGAAGAAGAAGGAGAAGAAGAAAAAAAAGACAAAAACATAAAAAATAAAATGGCAAGAAATAGATATCAACAATTGAGTCTAGAAAACAAAATAAATGAACAAGGAGAACAGAAACAGACCCTTAGATACAGAGAGCATTTTGACCATCGCTAGATAGGAGGGGTGCTGGGGAGATGGGGGGAAAAGTTGAAGGGATTAAGAAGTACAAATTGGTTGTTACAGGATAGTCACTAATGATGTAAAGTACAGCAAAGGAAATATAGTCAATAATCTGATAACTCCGTATGGTGTTAGATGGGTACAGGATTTACCATGCTGATCACTTAGTAAGTTATATGTCTAATCACTCAGGTATACACCTGAAACTAAGACTGTATGACAACTGTAATTGAAAAATTTTTAAAAATTTCAAAAATTCACCACTGATAAGATATACAGTAATGTTATTTTTTAGACAAATATAGCATAAACCTTAATGAATGAAAAATCATAAGGAGTGACAACTGGCTCTACTCATGGATTATCTATTTTACAAAATGATTCAACACATGGTTTTTTATTGTGAGCCCACTCAATGCATTTGAATACTTGGCCAGTGTCTGTTTTTCCCTTACATTGTGACCTCCATGATGAAAGTAATGACGTGTGATTGTTCACTACTCCATGCCTACTACTTATCGTACCTCGCATACAAGCCTTTAAATTGGCACTAATATTTATTGAATGTATAGTAAGTATATCTAAAATACAGCTCACCTTTATGCACAAAATTTCAATATATATTTGCAGTTTATTTTTTCAATTACAGGTGACATTTAATATTATTTATATTGATTTCAGGTGTACAGCATAGTGGTTAGACATTTATACAACTTATGAAGTGATCCAACCAGTAAGTCT